TATTTTTTTTATTTTTTTTTAATAAGAACAAAAAAAAATACGTAAACAGAAGAGACTAGAATTACAAAAAGAAAAACAAGATAAAATACGTTTAGGTTTATTGCCTCCGGATCAAGCTAAAGGTATTTAATTTACTTTAAAATTTTTTTTTTCAGCGTTAATTTTTTTCCCAGTAAACTAAAAAATGTTATTTTTTTTTTTTTAAATTAAAGTTAAATTAAGTAACTTAATGAGAGTTCTTACAAACGACGCTATACAAGATCCAACTAAAGTAGAGGCCCAAGTTCGTAAAGAAATGCAAAAAAGACAAGAAACTCATTTAAAGGCTAATGAAGAACGAAAATTGACTGATGAGCAGAAAAAAGAAAAAAAAGTAAAAAAATTAGAAGAGGATGCCAAGAAAGCTATTATAGTCTGCGTTTACAAGTAAGCAAGCAAACAAATTATATATATTTTATAAGTTGTTAATCTGATTAATAACTTTTTATTACCGTTATTGTTTTTGTAGAGTTAATGACCTTTCACATCCTAAAATGAAATTCAAAGTTGACATGAATGCACAACAACTTGGGCTTACCGGTACAGTAATCATCAACCCGAATTTTAGTGTTATCATCGTGGAAGGTGGACCAAAATCAATAAAATATTATAAAAAATTAATGTTACGACGAATTGATTGGCAAGATACAACTAGATTGGGAGAAGGAAGTAATAGTGGTGTTGGTGGTATTGGTGATCTTCAAGAATCTGATGAACTGATGATAACCAAAGAACCAAAAGAGAACAAGTGTTCGTTAATATGGGAAGGTGAAGTTAAAGAACGCGGGTTTAAAGGATTTTGGTTCAAGACTTCTCCAACAGATAATATGGCTAGAGAATACTTGAAAAAACATAAAGCTGAACATTATTGGGATTTGGCAAGCAAATTTACTGATGAATTGGGTGAATTGACTACTTTGGTATAAAAAATTATAGTGATTCGATTAATATAATGTGGTAATAATGATTTTTTTGGTGTATATCTGTAACAATTATTGTAATCAATATTATTAGTGGAAAAAAAAGTTTATAACTTAATTTTCATCAATTTTTAAATAAAATTCGAAATTCAATAATGATTTATAAGTTTTTCCTGTATATTTATATAAAGAATCCTTTTGCCATAAATTTTCTATAGCAAGTAGGCATTGCGCAAATTCAAATTAATATCATCATCATCATCATCATCATGATTACCAAGTCAATTAATATTAAAAATCTTCATAATCGCTACCATCATGTTCTTTAGTTTTTGCTGGAAATCATTTTTTGATTTGATCAATATATATATATATATATATATCTTGCAAAAATAGAAAGTGGATTCATAAGTTTTGTGTACAATCAATCAACCTCTGATAACAAGTTATGACTACTATTACTATTATCACAACTGCTATTTGCATTA